ATTGGGGAGACTATGCAGAGGGAAGGAGGAGGCTGTGTGGCACAGAGGGGAAATGTATGGTGTCGGGCTCAGAATGGCACATGGAAAGCCGCCTGCAATGTACTGGGGCCAGGGCTGGAGCTGCTGCTGCTGCCTGACCAGGGCTAGAGTCGCATAAGGTCAGTAGTGTGACAAGGGAGTGGGGGGCAAAGTAGGGAAGTATTGGGGAGACTATGCAGAGGGAAGGAGGAGGCTGTGTGGCACAGAGGGGAAATGTATGGTGTCGGGCTCAGAATGGCACATGGAAAGCCGCCTGCAATGAGAGCTGTTGTGGCTCTTGCTCCAACCCCAGGGGCCAGGGCCAGAGCTAGAGCAAGAGTTGTGTATAGGGTAAGCAGTGGCTGGGATAGGCAGGCAAGGGGACAGGTGGGATGGGGGGGTCATCTTAAATTTGAAGTCATCATGGATTTGGGTAAATACAGTAGTTATTCCCTGATATTTTTTGTGTCTATTCTAAATTCAAAATTGTCTTACGCTGCTAACAAAGGCTAACACTTGCTGTGAGACCATGTGGAATCAAAGCACAGTCATTTGATGAACTTTTGCTATGTAAAATTATGAAACAATATGTTTCAAGTTTAATGGGTACACATTTGATAGTTTCCATTGGAAAACTTGCTGTGGGTTCTGGGTAAAGTGAATTTCCTTTAATCTTGTAACAAAGGAGTTGTACGCTGTGGAAAACCCTTTCTGCTTCATTCACTAACTGTAGCTCAACGTTATCATGTAAGATAACTGTGTTCTTATCTTCATAAGGTGCCCAGGTCCTTGTAGATGTAATTCCTCCATTCACAGTGTAAAGTGTCCTCAGACTAATTTGCACTATGACATAGAGAAGAGTTGTTGGTGCTGCTACCCATTTTCACATATTTGAGTCCTTGTGGGAAAGATAACAGAAACAAGGTTCAAGGCTTCTAGGTTCCCCAGCCCAAAACCGCCATATTCATTAAATCTGCGACTAAGAAGTACTCCAGTGCTGCTGACTGGTGCTGGAATCTTGTCTGTTCTAGGTTTCCCATAGCTAACTCATGGGAGAAATGTGATCATAAAATTCCTGTGAACATGTACATTCTTTGACATTTTAGGAACCAGTAGCTCTGATACTATTGAAAGGTGGAATTATTTATGCCAGGGGTGTCCAAAATGTGGTCTGCAGAGCTACTTTGTACAGCTTAGTGCAGCCTGCCACAGAATCTTGGGCCCTGCTGGACATGGCCATTGGTGAGCCTCCTGCCCCTGACAGCCTTGCTCACCCTGTGGCTGCCAGTCCTGCTACCACAACCCTGGGCCCCTAGCTGGATCCAGCCCACAGAAGAGCCCCTCAGTTCAGATTTGACCCAGGAAACTGTTTCTGATGCCCCTGATTTATGCTGTATTTATAAGGGCTAGTGAAAATGGAACCTTTTGCCTGTTGAAGTGCTACTTAGTAAATAGGCTGTGAGGTGAGTTTCTAAACATAGAAAGCTGTAAAATTGCCTGTTATGGGTTTTTTAAGCAGGTGTTTTAAATTAATTATTCCCAAAGATCCTAAGCGCCATAGCAAAAGTAAAAAAAAAAAAAAAATAGACAAAAAAAAGTTCTCCTTGATTATTTTTTTTAAACAAAAAAGAATGTTCTATGCTTCAGTTAATACACACAGTGGGTCAGGATGGTGTTACAGGTTACCTTTAAATAGCCATAAAGGCACTTAAAACAGGAACATTCATCCATTAGGATGTCAACCCAAGCTAAGTACCCTCTAAATGGTTTAAAGTTATGCCAATTCAAGCAAGGGTTAGCCTTTGATCTGCTTACCCTGGAATGATATGGGTAACTGTTAGTCCACTCTGGGGAGATAAAGCACTCTATTTTCATTCCTCCGGCATCCCATGATGCACCATTCCCACCCCTTCCCACTTTTTTGCTCTGTGGGCAAGCTTTCAACCCTCCTGATTCCTACAGCCTAGAGGGCTGGTGGGGGATACTGGCCCCAAGGCAACATGGGGGGTGCAACCCCAGCACACCCCAATCATGCTGAGCACCCAGGTACAGCTCATCAGTTTCCTGCTTGCTTTAGCACCGGTGTACAAACAGCAACAGCAATACTGTCTTCCTCCATGAAGAGAATGAGCCAGAAAATGAAAACCACCAGGCGGGTCTCAGCTGTGCTCTGATGTGGCATGCTCTACCCTGACCCAGCCTACTGAATCTCAGCTCTGCTGTGGTGCAAGTACTAACCCAACTTTTGCCCCCACCCCTAACCCAATCTTAAAGCAGTGAATCATGTTGAAGATTTTGTTTCTTTTTTAAAATATTTTCTTTTCATTCCTTTTGCTTTACTTCTGCCCATTTACTTCAAACAGGGTATTTTTAAGATTTGAGAGGATTAAGCAGGGGTGGGCAAAATGTGACCTGTGGGCTGGATGTGGCCCACCAGGCCATTCTGTCCAGCCTGCGGGACCCTTAAAAAATTTAGAAAATTAATATATATCTGCCCCTGGCTACTTGTCATGCGGCCCTTGATGGATTGTCAAAACTCAGTAAACGGTCCTCTGCCCAATATAATTGCCTGTCCCTGGTATTAAGCCTTAACCTTTGAATGCTCTGAAACTGTTCTAACTTTATGGCAATGTAATATTTCAGATTTAAAATGGTTTGAAGGTAACCTGCAACAGTACCTTCAGTTATTTGTGAACTTGAATGTCCCTTTGTGGTTCCCTTAATGGAAAAGAAGTTGAAATATAATATTTTTGACAAAACTGTGGCACTTCCCAATACAGAGAGAGGCAAAGACTTGTTGGGGATGAAAAAATCTTATAGTGGACCAAGCTGCCTCTGTGTTAGCTGTGGCCCATCACTGTAACACTACGATATACCCATTGATTCATATGGAGGCCGTAGTAGCTTTGATATCCTTCATAAAGATCTGTGTATTCATGCTTCAGGGAGCATTGGTCAAAGGAAGTGTGCGGCATATGTATTATAAATGTTTACGTGTACACTTAAGATCTTTCGTCTTAAAAAGAAAAAAAAGTATGCGTAATTCTAGACTTTAAATTGCAGACTCATTGACTTTCAGTACCGTGTGAAGCGTTAAGTATTAGATAAATTTGGTTAATGATCTTCCTTTTCAAATATATGAACGAGTACCATGGTTGTAGACTGCATTTGTGTATGTATATGTACATATATGATATACATATTTGTGTTGTCCCCTGTGTAAGAGGGGTTGCTAAATAATTACAGTGCCCAAAGATCTACTTAAGCTGTCATTACAGATCATTAATGATGCATAAGGGATGCATGTGGGTGCACATGCACTCCCTGAGATTGATGGTGCACCCCCTGCAAAAAGCGCTGCCGATGCTCCCCCGCCCCCATTGCTAACACTGCTGGTGGCATCTGCATGCAGTCCCTGATAGCAGCTGGCTGCTGCCAACACTGCTGGTAGCATCTATGGGTGGTGGCGACTGCTGGTCGGTGCTTACCACCCCCACCTCCCCTGCTGCCGCCACTGCTGTGGCCGCCTGTGGGAGCTCCCTGCTTGCTACCACTGCCACACCCTTGCTGCCTGTGGGTAGTCGCCATGCCCCCCCAGCCTCCAGAGGCACACATCATTCATGTTACAGATAGTAGCAAAGGTTTGTCAGTTACTAAATGTAGTGGGGGTTGGGGGGATGTTTGATAAACAAATTGTATTTCATTGGTCTTTAAACTAAAATGGGTTTTCATTTGTTGGTTTCCTCAGTTTTGAGTATTTGACCATTAAGTGGTGAAAAGCATGCATTTTTTTAATGTGAATTGCCAATTAAAGCCAAAAACCACACCACAAACTTAAAATATTTATAGACATTTTGAAAATCTGAATGGGATATTTTGGTTTGTAAAACTGACAGTTTAGTAAATCATTGTTTCATATCCCAAATGCATTTGTTTATAAATAGTACTCTCCTGTAGATTTCAGTTCAGTTATTATATTCTCTGCGACCAGCACTTACCATAATTATGCAAACTTCAGGTCATGCAAAGATGTTTCTTTCTCAGACCCAAAGAAGGGCAGTCAGTGCCTGAAACTTGTCTTAATATCTCTCCCAACTGCAGTTGGTCCAATAAAAGATATCACCAAAAAATCCTTGCCTCTTGTAGCATTTATTTTGCAAATATCAAAACTATATATGACCTGTGAAATGGAAGTTAATTTCCTTAAATGGTATTAGAAAAGGGAAGCCAATAATAAATGTTAAGTGCAAATACACAAATATTCTTAAGATTGTTTTATCTTTTTCTCTTTCTTGCTACAATAAAGAACTTTTTAGCTGTGCATAAATACGCAACTCTGTTTGGTGAAACATTTGTGGTTTGGTGAATTATGATCTTATTACACATACTATATAAACTATAAATAATTCCTTTTTTTTTTTTTTTTTAATCTACAGAACATAACTTTTGGGACTGGTAAAATTGTGTAGTTTGTAAAGCAAATAGAAATAAATTTGTTTCCTGGCTTAGGGCCTGTTTTACTCTGGTGTCAGTGGGGCTGGGATCCAGTCCTTTTGGATTCCATATTGGACTATGTACGGAATTCGTGCTGATAGTCTCACTTACTCCCTGATTAGTCAAAATAATTTGGCAGTTGATTTCCCAGAAATAATTAAAACATTGAATTGTATGGATTTGTTTGGTTTAGTTTTTTAAGCAGTTTGTGTCTTGAATGGAGGCTTATGCCATATTTTAGTGTCTCTGATATCCAGGCTTTCCAATGCAATAGATTTATATAGAAAATGTCCAAGGACAAGGATATATGTCTATAGAACAATTTTATTTTAAACTCTTAATTAAGAGTATGTTAAGTTAGTTTATTAGCAGACAGTTTTTAAAGCTCTGGCTTCTTCTGGTTGACTGCAGTAAGCACAGAAAACACTCAGCAACCATTATATCAGCTGATGTAGTTTGGGGGTTTTCAAATGAAACTGGGTGCTTAGCTATTTTATGTTTACAGAAAAGCTTATTTGTTCTTTTACATCTTTTCCAGTAATAGTTATGCACGAGTGCGAGCTGTGGTGATGACCCGGGATGACTCAAGTGGCGGATGGTTACCACTTGGAGGGGGTGGACTGAGCTATGTCACAGTCTTCAAAGTCATTCACCAGGAAGAGAATAGCTGTGCTGATTTTCTTATCCATGGAGAACGACTCAGGGATAAAACGGTAACGAAGTATACGTATATTGTATCCTTAATGGAGGCACCTTAGAGGCTATGGTGTTAGCAAGTGTCTGGAAATAAAGGGACAAGAATACAATATTACTGAAATATTACTAAAACTCCAAAAGAAATTCCACATTTAAAGGTGACAGCTGAATTTTTGTATCTGGATTTTAGCAGACTATCTTTAACTACTGCTTGAAATCTGACAAACTAACATCAAAATAATATTTGAAATCCAACAGAATGAGTAGGAAACCTTATATTTCTACAGAAAAATCTTTAATACCAGAATGCAGCATGAAATAGACAACTTCAGGAATTATGCGGCTTGGATTTAAGGTGGAAGGAAATACTGAACACAAATTACTGAAGGAGTTTTCTCCAAAATACGTTGTCCCTAGACCCATCAAAAACAGCATGGCTTAGTGAGTGATTAATGTAGTCAGAAAGTATGCATGTTACAATGCCAAGACAGTAGCTATAGAGGCTGTATTACCTCAGGTACTGTTTATCTATATATTCAATATTTTCATTTTTAAAAATAGTTGTTTATATTTAACAAAATAAAATAGGCTTTACCGCTCTCTTTTTTAAAATTAATAACTAGATCTAATCTGTTATCTGTATTCATAGCTGTCAAGGTTCCTTTAAATGATTACCTTAAAGCCAGTCCCAGGTTTTCTTCTCTCTTGAAAGGTGAAATTGCATTTTAGATGTATCTTACTCATTCTTTTATGTGGGTACCTTTTGCTTATTTCAGTCCTAATTGATGATCCTTTTTCTGCCTTTTATCTCATACAGGGGTGGGCAAAATACGGCCAGCAGACCTGATCTGGCCCACAAAGGGGCTTTGTCCGGCCCATGGTGGATCCCTTGGTCCCACCTGGCTGTGGCATGTACTGTCGCCCCTGGGAATGCAGTGGGGCTGCAGTAGCTTCGCAGCTGCACTGCCTTTCTAGGCAACCCAGGTGGGGGCAGCTCCTTCTGGCTGCCGTTGCTGCTGACCCCGCACATGCAGCCCTGACCCAGACTCACCTGTCCAGGCTCAGCAGCAGCAGCGGCCAGGCAGAAACTGTTGCTTGGCACAAGGAAAAGCAGTCCCTCCACCTTGCTGCTGTACCACCATTCCCGCTACAGCCACCTGGAGTCTGCACTGCACTGGGCTACCCTCTCTGCCACATCACCACCACCTGGGCTGCCCTGCAGCTGTTCTGCACTGTCACTGCTGTCGTACTAGGCAGCCCGGAGGTCGCAGTAGTGCAGCAGAGATGCAGAACAGCCTGCTGCAGCGCGAGCTCTGGGTGGCTGCAGCAGGAACAGCTGGACAGCAGCAAGGGGGAGGGACTACTCTTCTCCCGAGCCGAGCAACAGTTTCTGGGGGAGTGGGGGAGCTCCCATGCATGCCCACCATACCCTCAAATTCTCACTCACACACAATTGCATATGCATCAACACGCCTCTGGGGGCAGCCCCGCTCACTGCTACGTGCACACATACCCATACACCCCACATCCCCCCTCCCTCTCCACACACCCCACATCCCCCCACAAACCCCATACCCACCCACACCCCCCTCCAATATACAAAAGTAAGACTTAATTTTGAGTGATTTATGCAATCATTTCTATATACACAACACACAAACACACACAAATCAGGACAAAAATATTTTTTTAAATAAAATTAAAATGTAATTGTGGATGTTTGACTTTTTAGTATACAATTTGGGGGCTTTCCAGTTCTAAGATGGCAGACCTCCTTCCCAAAAGGAATACTTGTGGGGGCAAGGGGAAGGACTTCTGGTGGCAAAGGTCATGGGTTAGGGGGTGGGATTGCAGGTTCCAAGATGGTGACCAGGGGTGGGACTACCCCTGCAGCCCTCCAGCCAAAATAATTGCCCACCTCTCATCAAATCGGACTAGATTATATAAGAAGAAATTGGAAATTTCTCTTGGTTTC